CGATCTTTTGGTCCACATTTTTGTTAAAAAAATCAAATCCTCCATGAGATCGCCCAGGGCGGGGTATCAGCCGAATCCGGTAAATGTTTTAGTTCACTGTAAATCTGTTTGCTGGTGGACGGTAAAATAATATGCATTCAATGGTATCTTAGCAGCGGTCGCTATAGACTACAGTGACTACGTTTCCTTTCTATGAACCCACTAAAAATATTATCAATTTTCCAAGACAAAAACGTGTCAGGCACTATATATATCTCTCTTTCTCATCATATGTTACCAAGAAAAAATGTGAGATATTGGAAAATACGCTTGCCATAAAAAACATTAGTAATATGCCCTAAAACAAACTAGCTTCTCTGCGTTTTATTGATATGGGTATGGTGACCCACACTACTTTGATAACGCAGACTTTGGCATATCACACAATACATAAAAGTTATCCACCTTTGATGTAATTTTGCGTACGTATCCACAACACAATCAATATCGATTTCTCGATGAATGTGGAGTAAGGGTAGAGATGTTAATCTCTTTTGCCCCATATATGTATTCAACCTTATCAATGCAGAGAAACTGCGCTCAAACTCATAGCTTGTCATTGAAATGATCGCAGAATATGTTTGAAAAGTATGACTCATCGCATACTTCCAGTTCTGAAACAACACACTGGAGTTGACCTATACAACTCGTGATCGAACAATTTTGCTAATGATAAATCGTCATTTTTTTCAACCGTTGCTGTATACTATTGTCCAATAACACAGGCTACACTAATTCAATGAGGTCTTCAATTAATGGACTGCATTTGGCTGATTTATAACAAGTTGCTCATTTATAACAACTTTTTTTGATTAGCTGCTGTTTCGTCTCTCAACTCAAAACAAGCCAATCAAAGCTGGCATAACTTCACGATTGATATTTGAAGCTTGTTTCCACCAAAATGTTCATTACTATGCAATTTCGACTGAGTCTGATAGTTACCTCACCGAGGCAAGTAATTTAAACGATGGTAATTATTTTTATTATTACTGTTTGTTTAATATGTACTAATCTACCATTATATCTACTTCCGAAACAGCTCGATCACATAAATTATAAATTACGATCAAATAAACTACATGATGATAATGGAAAACCTAAAAAACAACAACTTACCTATTTTTTATTTTCGGTGCCTTACAAAATAGGCAAAATTCCATACAGTTTTCACAAAGCAGTCAAAATTCTTCACCGTATATACCGGAGTAAAAAAGTAAATGACTGTCATACTTGTACAAGTGAGGTCGCTATTTGCTTGAAATGAAACAACTGATTTTTATGCAAATTAGGCAGGCAGGCCCAAGACTAGTTTAGAGGGTAGGGTGTATTTCCACACCTAAAGTAGTATTTTAAAATGGTTCCAATCAAATTGAAAATTACTTTCACATAATATAGATCCATGCCAATGAAATAAAAAATAGTGTCATTGGAGAATGTTATAGTCTCAATGTTGTGGGAAAATCTAAAAAATTCTCACAAAGGACAGTGTAACCTAATTCTTAGTTGTCATGATAGTATGAA